CCAAGAGGATTACATTTGCTCCAATCTTCCAGGTTCTTCAAGTTCCTCTCATCCTCCAAAAACTTTTTCAGGTACATTTCATTATTTACCTAACCTTATTTCTTATCGTTTATTAAGTCCTAAACACTTTACTTTTCTCACCTCTACTTCCAAACATGTTCATGATCCTCATCTTTACTTCGAAGCTATTATCTTTTCTCATGGGTGGGTTGCTATGGCTGAAGAAATTAAAGCTTTAGAAACTAACCATACTTGGACCCTTGTCTCCCTCTCCCTGGAAAGAAAGCTATTGGTTGCAAGTGGGTTTACAAAACCAAACTCCATGCAGATGGATCCATCGCTCACCATAAAGCTCGTTTTGTTGCCAAGGGTTATAATTAGGTAGAAGGTTTGGACTATCATGACACTTTTGCTCCAATTGCTAAACTTGTCACTCTTCATTGTCTTCTTGCTATAATTGCAGCTAAAAATTGGTTTTTACACCAAATGGACTTCAACAATTCATTTTTTCATGGTGACCTCGATGAAGAAGTATATATGCAACCACCACCTGGTTATTGTCCGAAGATGAAGATGCGTGTTTGTCAGTTACACAAATTCTTATATGGTTTGAAACAAGCCTCTCGCCAATAGTACTTCAAATTGTCTCAAATTCTAACTTTGGCCAACTTTAACCAATCTCATGCTGATCATAGCCTCTTCACCCAAACTAAGGGTATAGTGTTCACAGCAGTCCTTATTTATGTAGATGACATATTGGTTATTGAGAATGACCTTTCCACAATAACTGCTCTCAAGTCTCACTTGACTGATGCTTTGAAAATCAAAGATCTAGGTAACATGAAATACTTTCTTGACATTGAAGCGGCCCACTCCTCTGCTGGGATTTTTTTCAATCAACGAAAATACACTTTGGATATTCTCTCTAATGCTGGCCAGCTTGGCTCTTGTCCTATTTATTTCCCAATGGAGCAAACCCTCAAGCTCAATAACTCGGATGGCAATCTTATTTCTGATCTGGCCCCCTATTGTCGCTTAATTGGCCGCCTTATCTATATGACGATTTCAAGGCCCGACATTGCATTCTCTGTCAATCTTTTGAGCCAGTTCATGCAAGCTCCTTAAGAACCTCATCAACAAGCAACACAACGCTTACTTCGATATCTGAAAGCCACTCTTGGATATGGCTTATTTTTCCCCTCCATATGCAGCTTTCAATTATCTACTTACTATGATTCAGACTGGGCCAGCTACCCTATTACTCAGCGGTTTACCACTAGTTTTGTTATTAAGATTGGTAATAGTCCTATTTCTTGGCAAACAAAGAAGCAAACAACTATGTCCCGCTATTCCACAGATGCCGAGTACCGTGCAATGGCCAACATCTCTTGCGAACTCACATGGCTACGCACTCTTCTTCGTGATCTCACCATCTCTCATCCACATCCAACACTGCTTCACTGTGACAATCGGGCTGCAATTTACATTGCACGCAATCCTGTTTTCCATAAATGAACCAAACACATTGAGATAGATTTTCATCTGGTTCATGAACTCATCCAAGCCGGTCTCATCTCTCCTACCTTTTTGCCCACATCTCAACAACAAGCTAATCTTTTCACCAAGCCTTTAGGTCAAGAATTGTTCACTTTCTTCCGTTCCAAGTTGGGCATTACGAATCTCCATACTCCAACTTAAGGGGGAGTATTAGCCAACAGACATATTACATTATTCCAGCTGACAAATTGCACCAGTCAAGCCCCACATTTAACTGTTATTTCTTGCACACGGATTGCACTATTCAAGCATCACAAAGTGCACCAATCAAGCTCACAGCTCACTATTATTTACCTTTCCTTGTGTTGTAGTATCTCTGTTCTATATATATGTTGTAATCCCCATTTACAGTATCATCAAGGAAACACAGTAAAATATAGAATATTTTCCATCACCTCTTCTTTTATCACAAACATCTTGGTCATTAGACACAAATCTTTAATGGGCATTTTCAAAGATAATCAAAGTTCAATGGAAAATGATTATCGACATAATCACCAATGGTACCTATTGAAAATCAATAGTTGTTAGTGACTCTGATGTTATTATTGAAAATGGCGGTGATCACTAATGAGAAGCCGTCTGTGTCACCCACAAATTTTATTCTTTCTATATATTACTTTGGTTGAGATAAATAGTTTTTATTCTTTCTTTATAACATTACTACTTATATGTTATTTGTGTAACTTTCATTTTATTCCCAACAAATTTCTGGTGAGTATTTATTTTTTTATTAATTTATTTATTGACGATTTTTTCTTTTAAAGATTAAATTTGTTGAACTATTTGTATTGTTCATGTTATTAAGTGAAGAATTGTTTGTAATTGATCCCAGTAGAATGTTTCATAAGGAAAAACAAAGGCAAAATATGTAAATTTTAAAAATTGGAGCCCTCCGGCAAATCGGGGATTAAGGTACCTCCTATTGCTTGAGTCGGCTCTCGCAACATCTCCACCCTTCTTAAAATTGTTATAGGTCAAACCCCTTTGTCTATGTACTTGTCATAGAGATTTCCCTGATTTACAAGAGTCGGAGAAATTTTTCCAGGTTCAATTCTCCAGGGTTGACTTCTTGGAACTCTAAGGAATGAATATTAAAGACCAATAACAGAAGAAATGTTCCTATGCTAACCAAATTCTTTATGCTGAAAACACCAATATAGTGTTGGGAAATTGTTCAAAAATCAAAAGGTGTGGCGTTTGGAATGAAAGGGAGAAAAAACGGATGAAGACCAAAAATTTGGCTTGTGCGGCCGCACGGCTCTCTCCAGGGAAAAAAATCTCCTGTTTAATATAACCATGCGGCCGCACGATATTAATTTGTGACCATTTTTTTCCCATTTTTAGCTGTTGCCAATTCATACTTGGTGACTTTTTAGCTCATGTTTTGACACCTTTTCGTGCATTTGAAGCTTTCTGATAAGTGCATTTTATGCACTTAGTCAGACTACATAATTAGGTTTTTATATCGTCAAATTATCAATTTTTACTTAACTTGTGTTAATTTTCTTTTGTTTTTAGTTATGGACCCGTTTTGAAGCAACTGGAAAAGAAAATAATCAATTGGCTATTACATTGAGTTTGTGGACAAAATCTCGCGGAATAAAAGATGGAGGATCAAAATTGAGGAGAAAATGAAGAGAAGGACCAACTTGCATTACACGAAAGAATTGGGTACACAAAACTTATTGGACTTGGGCTTCTAATTTGTATACAGAATAAGGGCTTTTTTTGTTTAGGTATATGTATACTTGCAGCCGAGAAAAGCCGGGGGGAGTAGACAAAAATTCATAAACACATAGACAGAAAACGGCGAGGAGGAGGCAGCCGTGGGAGGAAATTAGAATCCCTTTTGGGATTATTCAAGTCGGCGGCAAATTGAGAGGAAGCCGGGGCTGAGTTGAATATATTAAATACAAAAGAAAACGACAGGTTGAAGGGAGTGTCGGGGGCTGAATTTATATTATTGGATGCACATAAAACGGCAGATTGAAATTGCAGAATTGATAAAGACGGCCAGCAGCTGACGGTGAATTGGTGGGCTGCAGAGTTTGAATTAAATACATATACACACCCACAAGAAGCCAATATTTGGAAGAGATTAGAGACGCAGAAAACGACAGATTGACGGCGGCTAAAATTAATAAATTTGGAAGCTGAATTGATTATATTATATACAAAACAATTGAAGTAGGCGGCAGCTTTGGACTCTAGTATTGTATTACAAAAGTGAGGGGCCTAATTGGAATAATATATATACTAGATAGAGGACAGCAAACACGAGACGGAGACGGACGGAAGGCAGCGGCTTAAAGGAAAAAATTTCAGATTACTCTTGGAAGGAACTTTGATGTCAATCACGTTCCGTCAATTATTGGTGATGTCGTTCCACTTTTATTTATTTAATTTTGCCGTTATGTTAGGCTAGATCTTTTCATGCTAGGATTTGCGATGAACCTTATATTATGAACCCCTTAATCTTGAATTTTATTTATTTGACGTTAAAACATGTTTTTAATTATTGAATGATTGGCATGGATTTTATTTTCTCTACAATTATAGGCGCAATATTTGTATGAGATTTGTGGCTTGTTTTACTCTCGAGAGATAGAAAATAAGTTAGACATTATGTTAATTGTCGTAAAGTCCGATAGGGGATAGAAATATATCGCTATGTTTTACGTGATCTTTAAGTATTCATAAATCTTTAATACATTTTTATATGTTCGCATCCGTCATAGAAATATAGTCAGATCGCATGTGAAAATAGGTTTAATTCTACTCGAGAGAGATTGTTAAACAAATTAGGAATATTGGTCTTCATAATTGAATCGCGTTGTCAATTTTATAAAATTCGGATTAAAGAGGATTGATATAAGGGGATTTGGGATCCTAGTACGCATTTCATTATCATATTTTTATAAAACTTGCATTTAGTTATAATCACACATTTAATTTAGTTAATTTAGATTTTATATTTATAAGTAAGTTATTAAATTATAATTTAGTTAGCGAAAAATTTCTATTGTTTCGGTTAAGGCGTAGATAATTTAAATTTAAACTAATACAATTTCTGTGGGACAATACTTGGATTCAAAAGGTCCACTTTATTACTTGAACGCGACCCGTGCACTTGCGGTGTAGGATTTTAGCGAACAAGTTTTTGGCGCCGTTGCCGGGGATTGTATTTTAGTTTAATTTCATTTATCTTGGCACCAATTCGAACTTTTCTTTTCTTATTATTTTATTTTATTTATTATTATTATTATTATTATTATTATTATTATTATTTTATTTTTATTTTACGGTTATTTTGGCACTTTAATTTTCTCTTGCATTTTATGCGAAATTTGAGGGACGGTGAACTGATACCAACTGATCCAGAAATCGAACGTACTTTTTACCTTAGGCAAAGAGAAGCAAGAGAAATAAAACAACAAGAGATGGCCAACGGACAGAATAATCCAATTATTCAAGTGAACGAAGAAGCAGTGGTTAATGAAGGAAACATGCTAGTTGGGGACTTTATGACTCCACAAATTATTCAAAGCCAATCTAGCATCGTTTATCCTCTGTTTGGACAACCAAATTTTCAGCTGAAGACCAATGTCATTCATTTATTCCAAAATGGACATCAATTTTATGGCAGGTCTGATGAAAATCCACATATACATGTCTCTCAATTTTTGGAGATGTGTCAACACTTTAAATATCAAGGGATTTCAGATGATGCAATCAAATTGAGATTATTTCCACATACTCTACGGGATAGAGCGCTTGAATGGTTAGATTCACAGCCTATTGCTAGTATCACCACTTGGAATGACTTGGCTAAAAAATTTTGCACCAAATTCTTCCCACCGGCTAAGATTACGAAATTGAAGCATGACATATCCATATTTGGGCAGGGAGAAACCGAATCCTTTGAAGCTTGGAATAGATTCAAGAACATGCTTTGGAAGTGCCCTCATCATGGCATCAACAAAGGGCTTCAGGTCCAATATTTTTATGCAGGTCTACTTCCATCTTATAAAAGCTTGGTGGACTCATCATCTAATGGCTCCTTATCCACAAAGACAATTGATGAAGCTTTGGAGTTGTTTGAGAGTGTGGCTACTACCACAGCCATGTGGGCCTCTAAGCGTGTTGTTTACAAGAAAGTACCAGAAGTTTATGAGGTGGATACGTATACAGCGTTGTCTGCAAAAATTGACTCTTTGGTTCATAAGGTAGAGAGCATGTCACAGTCAGCTAATGTAGTACAGGCTAAAAGAGCAAGTTGTGAAGAATGTGGGGTGGATCACAGTACAGTAAATTGTCCAATTCGTATACAAAGTACGGAACACGTTGATTTCATACAAGGGGGTCAGCGCCAACAAAATAATCCATATTCTGACACCTACAACCCTAGTTGGAGGAAGCACCCGAATTTTCCTGGAGTAATCAGAATCTCACTGCACCACATGGTTCTCAGTTTCAGCAAGCAGAGAAGAGAACTTCCTTGGAAGAGATGTTTGGTAAATTCATGGAAAAGACAGATCAGTACATGAATGCGAATAATCAATTTATGAGGAAGATTGAGACAACTATCCAGAATCAAAGTGCTGTAATTAAAAACTTGGAGACTCAGATGGGACAGATGGCAGAAGTTATATCGGGCAGAGCACCATGTACATTGCCAAGCAATACAGAGGTTAATCCGAAAGAACACGTCAAAGCAATTACTACTAGAAGTGGGGTCCAATTACCTGAGTTCCATGTTAAGAGGCCAACTGCAAATAAGGAAAAAGTACCCTCTACTGATGAAGAGCATGCAGAACAGACTGAACAAACAACAGATACATCTATCAAAGAGAGTTCAAATACACTGCAAGTTAAGGAAGCTGCTCCTATTAAACCATACGAGTCGCCAATTCCATTTCCTCAGAGGTTGCAAAACACAAGTTAGAAAGGCAGTATACAAAATTCCTTGAGGTCTTCAAAAAGCTTCACATCAACATCCCTTTCGCGGATGCTCTCGTTCAGATGCCTAGTTACGCCAAATTCTTGAAAGATATTTTATCTAACAAATGCAAGCTAGAGGAACATGAGACTGTAATGTTGACAGAGGAATGTAGTGCCAGAATACAAAAGAAGCTACCTCCTAAGTTAAAAGATCCAGGGAGTTTTACTGTACCTTGCACTATAGGTGATTATTATTTTGATAAAGCTTTATGTGATCTAGGTTCAAGTATTAATTTGATGCCATTATCTATTTTTAGAAAACTGGGTTTAGGGGAGGCTAAAGCAACTACAGTGACTTTACAGCTAGCTGATCGGTCTATCACGCACCCAAGAGGAATTATTGAGGATATCTTGGTGAAAGTGGACAAATTCATCTTCCCAGTTGATTTTCTCATTCTTGACATGGAGGAGGATAGGGATGTTCCACTTATTTTGGGTCGACCATTTTTAGCTACCGATAGAGCCCTTATTGATGTGCAAAAAGGTCAACTGATTTTGAGACTTGGTGAAGAACATGTCACATTTAATGTGTTCAAGGCCATAAGATATCCAGCAGAGTCAGACAGTTGCTTCCAGATCGATGTGATTGATAATACAGTAAATGATACGTTCCCGTTGCATAATCCACCAGATCCATATGAGGCATGCATTGTACACTCTCAATCTACTCAATCTGATTCTAATGAGATTGAAACATGTGCAAGAAATCTTGAAGCTAATCCTACATATAGGCGCAGACCACACTTTAAGGAATTAGGCACTGGTCCTACAAAGCCTTTGCCATCAATTCAAAGGCCCCCTGAGTTAGAGCTCAAGCAGTTGTCATCTCACCTTCGTTATGCCTACCTGGGAAAATCTTCCACATTGCCTGTTATTATTTCAAACTCCATTAGTAAGCTTGAAGAAGAGAGATTGCTAAGAGTACTCAGAGAAAATTAAACAGCTATTGGATGGTCTATTGCCGACATCAGAGGGATCAGCCCTACAATCTGCATGCATAAAATTCTCATGGAGGATAATTTTAGACCAAGTATAGACAGCCAGAGGAGACTCAATCCAAATATGAAAGAGGTAGTCAGAGCAGAGATTTTGAAGCTTTTGGATGCAGGGATCATCTATCCTATTTCAGACAGTGCATGGATTAGTCCTGTTCAGGTTGTGCCGAAAAAGGGAGGTATTACAGTAGTGCAAAATGAGAAGAATGAATTGATTCCCACCAGAACTGTTACGGGATGGAGGGTATGCATTGATTATCGCAAACTTAACACTGCTACTTGAAAGGACCACTTTCCCCTCCCATTTATTGATCAGATGTTGGAAAGGTTAACAAGTCACTCCCATTATTGTTTTCTCGATGGATACTCCGGTTATAATCAGATTTTGATAGCGCCTGAGGATCAAGAGAAGACTACGTTTACTTGTCCCTACGGCACCTTTGCGTATCGTAGGATGCCATTTGGTCTATGTAATGCTCCCGCCACATTTCAGCGTTGCATGATGGACATCTTCTCTGATATGGTGGAAAAATTTATAGAGGTCTTTATGGATGATTTCTCAGTTTTTGGTTCTTCATTTGATGAGTGTCTTGAGCACTTAAACTTGGTCTTGCAGCGGTGTAAGGAAACAAATTTGGTATTAAACTGGAAAAAGTGTCACTTCATGGTACAAGAGGGCATCGTGTTGGGACATTGAATTTCAGTTAAAGGGATTGAAGTGGATAAGGCAAAGATTCAAGTTATTGAGAAGTTACCACCACCAACCTCGGTCAAGGGTGTTCGCAGTTTCCTTGGTCATGCTGGATTTTATCGGCGCTTCATCAAAGACTTCTCTAAGATTACTAAACCATTATGCAATCTACTAGTCAAGGATGTCCCTTTCAACTTCTCCGAAGAATGTCTATTGTCTTTCAACACTTTAAAGGAGAAGTTAATTTCAGCGCCAATAATTGTTACACCAGATTGGAGTTTGCCCTTTGAACTAATGTGTGATGCAAGTGACTATGCAGTGGGAGTAGTATTGGGACAGCGACGAGATAAATTTTTTCACGTGATCTATTATGCAAGCAAGACATTGAATGATGCACAGCTGAACTATGCCACCATTGAGAAGGAACTTTTAGCTGTAGTCTACGCTTTTGATAAATTTCATTCTTATCTTGTTGGATCAAAAGTAATAGTTTATACAGATCATGCAGCTTTAAAGTATCTGATGACAAAGAAAGATGCAAAGCCAAGACTAATCAGATGGGTATTACTTCTACAAGAATTTGATTTAGAGATAAGAGATAAGAACGGAGTGAAAACTTAGTAGCTGATCACCTATCCCGACTTGAGCATGGAGAACAGGAAAAGACAGTGAACATAGATGAGATCTTTCCAGATGAACAGATTTTCAATATAGAGGATGTACCTTGGTATGCTGATATAGTGAATTATCTGGCCAAATCCATTATTCCACTAGACTATTCAAGTCATCAAAAGAAGAAATTCTTTCTGATTTGAAGTATTATTTTTGGGAGGACCCTATTCTTTACAGGCGGGGTCCAGATCAAATTATTAGGTGGTGTATTCCTAAAGAAGAGATCCCTTAGATACTCGAGCAATGTCATTCATCTGCCTATGCTGGACACTTTGGCGCATCAAAGACTGCCGCTAAAATTTTACAGTCTGGTTTTTACTGGCCATCGATATTCCGAGATACATTTGAATTTGTGAAGAGGTGTGATAGATGTCAGTGCACGGAAAATATCTCAGGAAAGAACGAGATGCCTCTGAATATCATTCTAGAGGTAGAGCTCTTTGATGTGTGGAGGATCGACTTTATGGGGCCATTTCCCTCATCATTCTCGAATCAGTATATACTTGTCGCCGTTGATTATATTTCTAAGTGGGTGGAAGCAGTAGCATTGCCAACCAACGATGCGAAGGTTTTAATTGGGTTCCTAAAGAAGTATATTTTCACCCGTTATGGTACACCTCGAGCTATCATAAGTGATGGGGGCAAACACTTTTGCAATCGTCGGTTTGAGTCTTTGCTGGCTAAATATGACGTCCGACATCGTATAGCTACCCCTTATCACCCTCAGACCAGCGGTCAAGTTGAAATCTCCAATTGAGAATTAAAGCGGATACTGGAGGTAACAGTGAGTTCTTCAAGAAAAGATTGGTCTAAGAAACTTGACGATGCTTTGTGGGCTTACAGAACGGCTTTTAAAACACCTATAGGCATGTCTCCTTATCGTTTGATTTTTGGAAAAGCGTGTCATTTGCCAGTTGAATTGGAGCACCGAGCTTATTGGGCAGTCAAGAACTTGAACTTTAATTTAAAGGCCGCCGGTGAAAAGAGATTACTTCAGTTGAATGAAATGGATGAATTTCGATTGGAAGCCTATGAGAACGCAAAACTCTACAAGGAGCGTACAAAAAAGTGGCATGACATGCACATTCAAAGAAGGAAGTTTGAGGTTGGGCAACAAGTTTTGCTGTACAATTCTAGACTCAAACTTTTTCTTGGTAAATTGAGGTCTAGGTGTTCAAGGCCATACACCATAGTCAAGGTGTTTCCTTATGGGACAGTTGAAATAACGCATGAAAGTAAAGGGACCTTTAAGGTTAATGGACAACGGTTGAAGCCATATTAGGATGGTGAATTTTCGAAAGAAAAATCAACCGTTTAACTTGCAACACCAGAATGAATGAACAAAAAGTCGAGTTCTAGACTACAAATCGAGCGCTTAATGGGAGGCAACCCATTCTTCTATCTTGCTATTTTAATTAACTATTGCATTACATATAGTTTTAGGGACTGCATTAATTTAGGAACTCATGCCTTTAAATGGGTAGTGTTGGACACATTTTAAGTGGTACTTTCAGACCTGCATCAGTAACTTAGGCATATTTATTCATTAAGTTCATTTTATTTTGACATGGTTATCTAGGTTCATCGTTAACATCTTAGCATTCTATTGAGCTTACATTGATGTGATATGCATCTTTAAAGTGGTACCTAAATCTCAATCTTTCTTGGTTTGAATTTATTGCAAATATCTAACTTTTGTATGATATCGCTAATATTTATTTTGAATACTTGAAACAGAGAATTAAAGCCTCACAACAAAGAAAAGCTACATCTGTCGTGATACCTACCAATTGGAGCAGCCTGATTATTCATCGCATCCATTTACCCCGAGGAGTTTCTGATCCTTACCCCTTACTTTGTTTAGTTTTGCTTATACATTGGGGACAATGTAGTATTTTAGTTTGGGGGTGGGTGAGTATTCGGATACCTAGAATACATATTTTTCAACTGCTAATCGAGTCCGTATAACTGTTATAAAATAAATAAAAAAATCAAAAGAAAAAAAATCATTCATAAAAAAAAATAATAAATAAATAAATTGTTTAGTAGCGTTGACAACTTGCCGTCTATGGAGATATTATTTGTTTGAATTGAGTACATATTTAGTTAGATGCCAGATAACATCTTAACTTGTACTTTTACTTTAAAACTTATCCATGTTAGATTTGATTATTTGAACACATAGCCATATTGATTTATCACTTATGTTGGTACACAATGAAATTTTTGTGGAATTGTTGATGTTGTTGACTTAGGTTTGAATAAAATTTCCAAGTACCTTATTTAGAAACCAAACTGTAAAAAAAAAAAAAAAGCAGTTTGGGGGTGAGAAGGTTAGTGCTTGTCTTCCTAGAAGTGCGATGGTTTGGAATTCTAGAACCCCGGTGTTAATTGAAAGGGTTTAAGTTAAAAAGTCTAAAACGGGCACTGATCATTATACATTTTTTTACTTCTTTTCGTAGCCTTTATGACTCGAGTGATTAAGCCTGCAAGGGTATCTAAAAACCCGATGCCCTATAGTCGTCTGACTTGGAAGTTATCGGCCTAAAACTCATTACAGGGGTCATCTAGAAAGCTTAATGGAAAGAAGCTTTGCACATAAGAAAAAAATAAAAATAAATAAACAGTTGGATTCTCATATCAAAAGAAAAAGCAACACATCTTCTACTAATTTTCGTAGCCTTTTTGACTCGGGTTATTAAACCTGCAAGGGTATCTAAAAACCTGATGCCCTATAATCGTCTGACTTGGGAGTCATCGGCCTAAAATTCGCTACATGGGTCATTTAGAAAGCTTAATGAAGAGAAGTCTTGCACAGGAGATGTCAAAAAAAAAAAAAGAAAAGAAAAAATGAAGAAAAATTGAGATATAATTTATCAAAAGTGAGATGTGCCTAGTAATGACTTTGAGATTTGAATTCTAGAGATTGGCGGTGTGATTATGAGAAAGACTTACTATCTCTCTTTCTAGGTTTACAAGTATCTAATTCTAAATACTTGTGCGGAAAAATGCATCATAATGATTTTTAGGAACCCCTTATATACTAGAAATGCCTCAGGATTGGAGAGAAAAGCATGAGTGATTGTTATACGAGAGGTGTGAGAAAAAATGACCACAAGAGGGTTGGGACTATGAATAAATCAACAACACTTGATTGGTTGTATTCTAATATAGGTGTTAGTTCAATGTTGGCTAATCTCACACACACTAAATCGAGCATCGGATAAGAAAATTTTTATTTTTTATTTTTGATGTTGTTTGGATCTTTCTAAAATATTGCTTAAATTCAAACCTGAAGCATATGGTAAGTAGTTCAACGTTGAGTCTTTTATTTATGATTTGTTAGGCTAGAAATGTGTTATTCTTAAGTTTTATTTTGTTTTGTTCGAGGACCAACAAATGTTTTAGTTTGGAGGTGTTTGATAAGTGCATTTTATACACTTATTCGGACTACATAATTAGGTTTTTATGTCGTCAAATTATCAATTTTTACCTAACTTGTGTTAATTTTCTTTTGTTTTTAGTTATGGACCCGTTTTGAAGTAACTGGAAAAGAAAATAATCAATTGGCTATTACATTG